CATCATCATCATCATCACCATCATCATAGCTAGCATGGCTTTTATCGTCGTAGTCGTCATCATTATCATCGTTATCTTCTTATTCTTCCTTCCTTTCTTCTTTCGTTCGTTCATTCTCTTGTTTGTTTGTTTTTATTTGTTGTAAACTCCTTCTTCTCCTTCCCCTTTCCATCCTCTTCAGTGGAAACTTGGAAACATCATGGAAACATCCATCCATCAAGGATGTAGTTTTCGTTTTCAAATGACGATATGTTTAAAGGTACCTACGTCCCCGAATTACTTCCATATTTATTATTGGGTATATATTTTAAGTGTGTGAATTATCCTTCCTTCGTCGTGTTATAATCACTATCATCCAGCCTATCCCTACTATGCATCCTCATTTTCTTCATTATTATCAACCTCATCACCTCTACAATCGTTCTCTCAAATCCTTGATCGATTTTCGTAATTGTTCTTATTCTCTTATTCTTGTTAAATCAACCTGCTTTAGTTTGCAAGCACACACCCTTGTCGTAATCAGTGTCTGCACAGTGAGACTAGGCTGACGGCATACTTCAGGCTCTGTGCTTTAGCTGCTCCAGACGCAGCCAGAGACTGACAGAGCTAGGCTCTGCTCAAGGCTTTAGGAATTGTAGTAAAGTGTCAAATCAGAGTCTGTGACTGTAGGCTAGCTTTACCTTTCCGCTTTGATCGTTTGTTTAGAAATTTCATACTTAGATTTTCCTTGAGGAATTTTTTTTAAAGCATAGGGCCTATTTCTTAAACCAACATCCACCTAAACCTATACCTGTATTCCAATCACATTTCTTTGCGTGAATGGATTACCAATATGCCAGTATTCTTAAAACTTTAACAAAACATTTATTTCTCGAAATCAACCAAATGATGTCAAAATTGTTGTAATTTCTTTTCTGACGAAAAAAATGGAAGGTAAGAAAAATGACGTATCATAGGACCAGGAGTATGAAACCTAGCCGAAAAAGGCTCAAAGGGACATTGGACCTCTAAATCCGAGTAAAAATTAGCGAAGGGATCACTTTCTGATGGCGCGAATTCCCGATCGTCTGTCAGCACAGCAGATATTTGTTACGGGTCTGCGGTCCCGTACGCCAACACGTTAACTCGAGCAATGTGTGCCGAGGAGAAATGTTACATACCAATTCTGGGCTCGATGATAAATGGTTAAATTTCCAGCGAATTTCATTTCATCCACTTTTTTCTTTCTTCTATTTATTTTTGTATTTGTATCATTGCTGCTACTCTGCACGCACGTCGGCGAAATTGAATTCTGGAAACATTTTTCATTGGCATTATCAATAATTTTCAGTTGAATGATTATTGTATACATAATAGGCACTTTGGCAGTTGTTGGTCTTACAAGTCACTTTGTTTTGTTATTATGTAATAAATGTTATTGATTCATTCATTCCATTATGTAGGCATATATCTAATAACGCATAAACTGGTGAATCTTCAATATTTTCTAAGGTATATGGTACAATATTTTCATTATATTTTCTTTGCAGCCTTCCCAATTACTTAGTTCCAAATAGGTGTACTTTAAGCCTCGATCAAATTCTCATAGATATCACCGACTGAGATTTGATACTATTTCATCACACCGCCATATGACCCTGATGCCACTATATTTACGTCACACAGTTGATGCGCGCCATTTTTTCTTCTTTTGATATCGATTGCAATCGCTTTGCCTTTGGTTTGACTGGTCGTCTGCCTCTGATCTGATACCTCATTCACACCGACTAACCGACTCCAGACATAATATTCCAGACAAAACCGACGTCATCTTTGCCACTGTAATGTATTTGTCGATCTGGTGTCGGTCTGGTGTCGGTCTCGTGTCGGTCTCGGTAGTGTGACTGAGGTGTAAACGACCCACACCGATTCCAAACCGACGAATTCTTCATGGCTATGTAAGTTGATGTTTTGAATTGTTGGTTCGGTCGGTTGTCTGTCTGGTGTCGTTTTTGTTGGTGTGATTGGGGCATGAAGTGCGTGTATACGGTCGTGTAGCGATGTAGCACGTACGCTCCTAATTTACTGTCTCGATGACGGAACGATACTTTCTGGGCATTTTCTACAAAATAGCTAGTAAGAGGGTACGTGACACGAGTAATGGACCCCCCCCCCCCCTGACCCGCCACAGCCAAGTTATTTATCGAAAGACAGGAGAGAGAGAGAGAGAGAGAGAGAGAGAGAGAGAGAGAGAGAGAGAGAGAAGGAGGGGGGGGGTGGGGGAGAGGGCAGACAGAAATAGAAAGAAATGGAGAGGGAAAAGGTTGAACTGAGATGATACGAATCTCTCCCACCGCCTCCCCACCTGATCGCTTCGCTCTATCGCAATGTTGTCAACAATTTTCTTTAAGAGAGAAGAGAATAAAAACCTATGAACAAAAAAACAAACTAAGTGAGACCCATGCTACCCCTCACAAGACTAAAACTTTGCTACGCCACGTTTGATATAATAATAAATGTCTGTCATGATGCTGAACGAAAGGGGCAATATGAAAGAGGGGTAATATGTATTAGAAAGTCATGTGGTCGAGTGGTTTGAGCACTTGACTGAAATGCCAAGGTCGTGCATTCGAGCGCCGACACGGCACTAAATATGCCAGGGCGTTTATCTACAGTAGCCACTCCATACCCATGAGAGAAATGGGGACCTGGTAGATGATGACAAAAACCCTTGTGGTAGTAATTGCCATATGCTCTCATGGTGACCATACGGTAGGAATACTCCACAGGGAGTGGAGATTGTGCACACTATGTAAGTAAAGAATCCGATGACCGGGGTAATGAGATATCTGCAACGCGCTTATATAGAGATGGTATTCCGTTTTAAGCGCTATATGAACCCAGATGTTTTATTATCATCATTGAGGAAATGGAAATCTAGCTAACGAATATATCACATCCCCGCCCCTTAAAGCATAAAAATAAATCCGAAACGATAAAATAATCAACATCCATATAATAATTGATCTGTTTACAAGGGCATTGACCTCATATGTTATGAAAAGAGAAAAATGACAATCTAGAAAACAAAATGATTTATTTCACGTGTAGTTATTTAAAATAAAGAAAGATACAGAAAGATATAACTGCGAAATCGAGGATTTCAATAATTGGTCTCTGCTAATCCATAGTCCCTTTGACAGTAACCCTGACCAAATCCCCAATACGTATTTATATCTTGAAATCGAGGATTTCCATTATACCTCTCTTTTTTTTCAATTATATTTTACTTCGCTGACAGCAAGCAATGTCGATTCTGATCGACGGAGGAGAGATATTACCAAAATGACTCTTTGGAATTGATTCGAAATCGAAAATAAAACGAATAGAGTGTATTGTATGGTAGTCAAGTTGAGATACAATAATAATTTCAGAAATATAATTGGAAAGGAAATTAAATTTTCTTCTCAATTTAATGCGCTCTTCTTCCCGATATAGGCTATCTATTTTAGAGTGCTCCCCAAACCAAGGTTATCTGTGGAAAATGGGTGAAATTATACTCGGTCTAAATGGTGCAGAAACCTTTTAAGCTAAATGGCAATGCTCTCGAGTCTAAGTTGAGATCTGTGGAGGAAAAGAAGCTTTTAGATGCACAAAACTATGTATTCCTCCCATGAACGAAAACATGTATGGATTGATTTTCAGCCTCGTGCATCATGACATACAGATATCAACAAATCTACATTGAATTATATGTATGTGATGTGTATGCTATATTGAAACAAATATACACGTTTGATATTTTGAAATATCGTTTTACATGACAATAAGATTTCTGGAAACATTTAAAACAATTGCTATCTCATGGTATTTTTGCTTCCCTTTCGTTATAAGCCTACATGTACATGTATACGTTATTATGAATGTCAATGACTGAATTGATCATTGTCTTATTAATGTATAAGTCCCAAGTACGATTAGCGGTAAAATACTTAATTAAACAGCTCTGTTTATATTTCGCTTGTTTTTTTCCTGCTTTGTTTTGTTTTATTTTGTTTTGTTTTATTTTTGTTTTTGTGTTGCTTTTTTTGCATGTTGGATGGTAAATACAGAGTATTTCGTAAAGATGTATTTTATCTTTACATGTGTTAAATCAAGTTTATTTTGCTCTTCAGTTCGAAGGGTCGAGTCTCTTTCCCTAGACTACCCCGCTGTATATCCCTCATAATGTATGCTAAAATTTCATCGCGTTGAAAGACAAGATGATATGACGCGTGTCGAGACAAAGATGGCAGAAAATTGCCGTTCAAATAAAAGCCCGAGGACCAAACTAACCCTCTCTATCATATTTGACTTGTATTCCTTCTTTAACCTTGCCATTTCTTTCAACCGTCCCGAGTAGACGACGATTGTCGGGCGATCTTATCTTGCTCGTTTCTTCTTGGTGGTCGAATTCTTGGTTGGACTAGGTGGCCTAAGGGCTTTTATTTTTATTTTTCACGCAATAGTTAAAAGCCACCTTACACCTTATGGCCTGAGTACGACTTGATTTCGAACGAAATTTAAAAAGGATTCAGTGATGTATAATTATTCCTGATTGAGCTCGCGAATGTTGAAATGATTAGAGTCATTGCATTTCCTTCCGAAATCGAATTCGCCCATTAATGAAGGGCAACATAGCTGCCACCCGACATGTTGCCGATTCGGTCTTCTTGCCGATCTTAAGGAATTTTACTTTTCAATCAGGAATAACTATCTGCATGTTCAAATTTAATCTTGTTACAGTCGACAAAATGTTGTCCGATACCCCCATTAGATAACATGGTCTTCAATAATGGTGGCACCCTCTTCCCTTTGAAAACCGAAATCAGTCGTCTTTGTTGCAAAATATTGTCCTCCAACCGTTGAAACACATGCTTCTGGGTAGGGATTTTTTCGTACCCCCTGTCTATGATTCGCAACTCCGATGATAATTATCTTCATAGCTGTATCTTTATTTCTATATATTCTCCACCATGCAGGTACCCGTGAGGCGGCCTTTGTGAACGCCATCTCGGCTGCGGGGGTGGCCCACGCGGTGACAAGAGGTTGCAGCAGTGGAGAACTGGAGAAGGTAAAGATTCTGAAGTTCATCGATAAATATTATATTAGCGAATTTACTTAGGACCGCCCCGCCTTTGTGGTTGTGTATGTATCTAGCAAGTTACAATCTCGGGGGGGGGGGGGGGGGGGGGGGGGGGTTCGAAAAGGTGTTCAAAATTTTCACACTAAGGACTGTTATCACGAAATGAGCTTAGGATCACGATGAGGATGATGACGACGACGATGACAATTATGGCTCGATGAGAATAATAGAAAAGTATTAATCATGTTTGTTTTTTTAAATATATCTATAAACATTTGTTTTCTTTCACCAGTGCGGATGTGATCGTACGGTCGGCGGCAATAGTGCAGATGGGTTTGTTTGGGCGGGCTGCTCCGACAACGTCGCCTACGGCGTCCAATTCTCACAGACTTTCGTTGATGCCATGGAAAGAAAAACCCGCGCCACCCTGGAACGGAGACTAATGAACTTGCACAACAACGAAGCAGGAAGAAGAGTAAGGAATTTATATCAATATTAGAAAGAAAAAGAAAAAAAAAAACGCCCGAATTTTATGTTCATTTTTTAAATTGTATAACGGACCGTGATATGCTAGATTGGTCTGAGTGTTTTCCCCATATTATTTTTCTTTCTTTGTTAGGGGGGGGGGGGGGGGTGGCAAATCCATAAATGTCCTCATTTAGAGGGAACAAAAAAACAACTTGTTGCTATTGCACTTATTCCAGTCGGCAATCTGCCAAATTTGAAACCTTTTTGTTTGTTTGATATAAAAATTTGCCTTGCTGTCACAAAACTAGTCTTGAAGTGTGACCCTCCCCTTCACATTGTTCTTGCGAGGCCCCTGTTTACAAATTTCAATTGAAACTTGCAAAAAAAGAATTATGATTAAAAGATAATTCTCTTTCCAAGCAGGTGTTCTCATCTATATTTTCGTACTCTCTATAAATCTTTTCACTCTCCCATTTTTTTCATTTGGCATCATCGACCCTAAGTTTCCTCCTCTATAACTCATACATGTCCTGAATTTCACTTATTAACATTTTTCTTTCTTCTTCTTCTTTTTTTTTTGTTGCCGAAATATTTCGCCTGATTTTCTCCCTTTTAAATTCTTTTCTTATTTCTGCATTTAAAGTTGTTGTACGTAACTGTTGAGTTAGACGGGGTATGGGCATACTTCTTTTAAACCGCTACAGATAAAGAAAGATAAAAATGGTCGTACAAAATAAACAATAAGAATTGATCATAATCTCCTTCGCTGTTTTGAAAATATGGTTATACTAACCAGTGGTTTTATCTGAGTCTTCGATTTTTCGTTTTATTTTCATTTTTATTATGAAGAATTTGGCGTCACCTATGCCAGGGATACGTAAAGTGAACTGAATCACTTTTATAACCCTCGGGTCTCTCCTTCTGGAATAACTAGGCCTATAGGTGTAACTTATTGGGTATAGGTGGACCACTATAATTAATACGCGTGGGTTTGTCCCTACTCTTATACGAATAGTGCAGTAGGTTCTTAACACGAAGAGGTACGTGGTGACTCTCCTGTACACTGTGCCTCTATTTAACGTCCTATCCGAGGGACGGAGTGTTTTCCACTCTAACTGAACATGTGTCTATGAACATGATTAAACGATGGAGGGGCATGTTAACTAGCTTCTTTAGTCTTCTATTACTACTACTACTACTATTATTACTACTACTACTACTACTACTATACTACTACTACCTCTTCTTCTTTTTCTTCTTCTTTTTCGTCTCTCCTCCTCCTCCTCCTCCCCGTCGTCCTTCCCAGTCTTCTACTTTATATGGATTCAAAAGCTGTCATCTCGTTTTGTTTTCTAACTCCCTCCGTTCATAATGACATATCGCAGTCAGCTCACTCCGAGGGCACACAAACGACCCCGTCTATTTAGAATAAATCAAACTTTCTGATTTACGAATCGGAAATAGCGCGTGCATAAATAACCACTGATTGACTTTACTGACAATGTGTACCCCAACTTTCTTCATGATTAATCCGTATCCGTTATTGATCGACTTTCGGCGGTTATTTAGAAATGTTTGGTAAATACGCCACTTTCTGTGCCTAACTTAGTTATTGTGCCCCCTAAAGACAGAAAGTCGTTTTCTCTTTGACGAATTTGTAACATTTGAACTTGAAATGTACATTATATGCGGTGGGATTGGGACGGGGTAGGAGGGAAGGGGTGCTTATGAAGGTCAGTCTGGGGGCACAGTCCAAAGAAATTTCAAGAAAGCCATTTGAAGAACCTCATCAGAAATTATCGGCGTTAGCATGGTTATAGTTTCGAAGTTACACTGTAAAGATTCACAACCTAAATGGAGATTCACAGGCGTTTCGTACATTGTTCCTGTAACAATAGAAAACATAAACATGGCAATTAAAACGGCTAAAAAGCGATCAATTTCGTGCATGAGTCGAATTTAGCTCACTGTTTTAAATTGATTCAATTGTCCCCTTCTGTTAAAGAAGTATCTCGCTTGCACCACTGCAGACACACTCAATGACGCACCACCCAGGTGACATTTTCATGTCGTCTCTAACCTCCTAACGGCGTCACGCATTGGACTCTCAAAAACAAACGAATCTTTCACGGATAGCGAAGCGTTATTCAGGCAATGCGCAATGCTTGCACGCGAACTAAATAAGTTAGAATAACCTTAAGAAGCTGCTGTATGAATGGATGTATCAGACTCAATGGTATTAAAAACTGAAGAGTGTCTCGTGCAATTTTCATATTTCATACAAGTCATGTATAACTTCATTGTCTCAATATATAGAGCTAAAAATATCGACAGTTACGAATTCCATTCTCATCATCCTCTTTATCCCCGCTTCCTCTTCCTCTTTGCTCCTTTTTCACCACCTCCGCCTCCACCACCTCCTCCTCCTCCTCCTCCTCCTCACCATCCTTCTCCTGCTCTATCACGTATGTACTTTGACGATCACATACGTGAATAAATTAGGCCTACGTCAGAATTATGTATAACCTAGCTATCACCGTAAGTTTTTTCTTTCATTTATTTTGTTTTCTTCTTCTTTATCTTCTTCTTCTTCTTCTTCTTCTTTATCATCTTTACCTCCATTTTCTTCTTTATGAAATGTATTTTGAAGTAAATTTTAATCAAACCACCCTGACGATATTTTATAATCGAATTATAACATAAAGTATTAGGCCTATTTCTGTTTCCTTCATGAAAAAGAAATACCTTTCTAGCTCGATGACAAATGGGCTTGGGACCAAAATGTAGACATGGATTTAAATGATGAAGTGATGTTGCTGGAAACACCCAAGGCGGCTCTTCCAAAATAGCATAAAATGTCTCCCTAAAGCCTTTACAATAGATCATGAGAAACCCCGTGGAAGAAATGGAAGAATGGTCTTCCCTCTATTCGTGGCAAATATTTCAGCAACCAAGTAAAGATGTAGCATGTAAATGATTTTGTTACCCCCCCCCCCCCCCCACCCCATCTCTCTCTCTCTCTCTCCCTTTCTATTGTTCTCTCTTTCTTTGCGTATCAATAAAATAGAATAGAGAAAGAAAGAAGAACTTTTAAAAGCATCAAATGGGTGTGGGAATAATTGAGAATTGTATTTAAACTGTTTTGTATCGAGCCGATTTTGAAGCAGACAGTTTGATGCAACCATATTGTTGAAGGCGGGAAATGATAAATGAAATAGAAAGAGGATCTTCAACCAATCACTAGAGCAAAAAAAAATTGATGTGGGAAAGGTTGGGAATATTTGAAAAATGCTTTGAAACAGATTTGTATCAAGTCGATTTTGAAGCAGACGGTTTGATGCAACCATTAAAGCGCGGGAAATGATGAATGGGTGATCATGGGACGATCGACGCGTGCGCTGAGATAACAAACACTGGAATTGTAACGTCTGCCCACATAATGTCGTCATCACTCACTCATGTTTCAAACTCTTTAATACCTCAGTCACACTGCCAAAACGACCCTTCGGTGCAATTTCATTTTGTTCTGGTGTGAGTGGTGTCGGTCTCTTTGGTGTAACTAGGGTATCATTCTCTTCTCACACTGCGTTGGGTACAGAGTTTGGACTCATACTCTCCCTATTTCAATAGTCTTTAATTCCTTGATCCGGTCCTTGATATACACGGAATAACTCTAGTAGGCAATGCGATTATTTCGAGTTCATAATTATACGAGTTTCCCGAATAATTGCGAAATGTTTCCCGAGTATTTTACGAGTTGTTTCATGAGAGCTCATTTTCATTCGCAGAAGTCTGTTATGTATTATACAATCTACCCGGTTCAATCATTCTTATGTTGGCCTAAATGTGAGCATGTTACAAGAAGAGGCAGGCAGAGCAGAGAGAGACATGGACTTTTTACGTAGAGACAGAGGGGCGGGTGAAGGGAGAGAGAAAGCGAGAAAATACAGACAAAGGGAAGATGTATACGTCATGCTAAGTGGCGATTTGGGATGAGAGAACGGAAGAAAATAGAGTCAAACATTAAAACCATTGTGTCAAATTCGAGTGCACTCCACGGAGCAATGAAATTATCCTCGATCATATTTTTCGACTAACTGCCTTTCCGCTCATTCACCGCATCCCCTTCCAATTTCTTTTCCCACCATAACTCGTGTCAACAGCCCAAGCAAGCAGTGATTAATATTTCGTCAGAAATTTCCCGAAATATCCCGACAAAGCGCGGGGATTAGCTCGGTATTTCAAATATCCCGAATCATGAGCCGAGCCAATTATTCAATCACAACCACCACGGTCATCGGAATAGAGAATACTTCTCGAATTCTGATAGACCACGCTCATTCATAATTCGAGATATGGTGTCATCACCAGAATGTATTTCTTCTCGGGTGTTGGTTCATGGAATAGTCTGGCGTTTCAGACTGTAATCCGATAGACAAGTATAGATCTTTGGAAGATGTAAACCTATTCCTAAGTCTGTATTCCCTGATTAGCTTATCAACTCTGCACACAATCAGGCGTTATCGTACATAGAGGGGATTATTAATGACGATTTGATGCATTTAATTATATAATTTCTTACATTTCTTCGGGAGTCTTATCACTTCCTCTCACAATGCTTCTTCAATTGCATGAATGAAAATGTTATAAGTTTACTGAAAAGGGTGTCAGATGTGACAAACGACTGTTAGCAATACAATGATCCAGGATTCACAAGACCTATGATTCCCGTATGATTCTGTTTGGTGAAATGGCTATTGTTATCCACATACTTTGTGAGCAAATAAACTTTGAAAGGTTGATACTTGACTGCTTGTTTTAACCGAATCGCCAACAAGACTGTTCATGTTTAGAATTGCAGTATCGTTTTTTTTTTAATATCATGAAAATGAATACCAAACGTTGGGATTAGAACAAATATTTCCCAGAAAGTTATCCTTGTTGACGATGCTTTCAAGTTTTAGATCGATTGGTGGAGATTGGGTAACCTTAATGTTGCAACATGGGTAATCAGTGTCTTCCAGGAATATACAATTTTGATTCTGGCCTCCATGGTGGGAGATTGACGAGCTGCTACTGACAGGTCATGGCATGAATGTATACTTCACCATTGAATCGTATCTAAATAGATAATGGGGGGGGGGGGGGGGATCTGCCAGATATAATTATATAGTGCCCTGTGTCCAGCGGATTAGATTTGATGTAGTTAATTATTCATTCATGCGAGAAATAGTATCTTTCTGTTATGCAGATCTAGGTTTCTCCTGCCGTGGGGGGGGGGGGGGGGGGGGGGGCGCAAAAGTTTCTCTACCACGCCCCTGCTTTAGAAAAAGTGTTGTCATTATTGACAGGTTACTTTTGCTCTTTAACAAACACAGGGGTACAATACAAGACACATGGGCCTTCATGTCTTTTCTCTTGGTAATTAATGGGTAGTCAAGACATACCAGATCAGGTTTTCCTCCCGTGCGCCCCCCCCCCCCAACCCATCGTCCAATATGCCATTGGTTCCCGGCTGCCTTTCATGATAAGTTTTAGAGCCAAGATTGAGCACGCAAAGTTAATATAACCTGTTCTCTCTCATTAGAGCAAAGAATTATTCCACAGTGCAAGGTTTTCACAGCTTTCAACTTCCACCTAATGCTCCCACGCGTTCACTTTCCCAGTGATACGGGATAATAGCTCTGTAACAAATCCCTGATTGGTGTAGTCTCTCCTTCACATTTCCTTGGCATTCCTACTGTTCTGAATGATGACGGTATTATTACCATTGGGAGTTTGTGGAAACCGCATAAAACCTTCGCAAAAATCTTGAGTGAAAAACTTGCCTTGATATGTCATCGGTCCATTTAGTAAGCCCAAACAACGATGTTCATAAGTTCTTGGTATTTGGATTTTGAAGTATAATATTTCCAAAAATGACTTTCAGGCTAAACACAATTTTTAAAAGAGCATTTTAATCATATTTACTACCGTGCCAAATAGGAATTTGGTCTGCCATAAGTCAAAACGTTCTTGTCTTTAATTTCGTTGAATTAATGTTTCAAACACTATTTTGTGGTTAACTCTTAATGGTTTTGTAAGGTACCTGGACATATCAAGGGTTGTGATTTACCGTGAATTGTGATCATACCCGGTTTTTAGTGAGGCCTGCGAACTATCAGGCAGAAGCGGGATGTATAACCTGATAGAAATTGACACAACTACAATTTCTAAGTCGATATATTTCTCACCGTGACCACATCATAAATAGTGTAACACTTTCCCGGCACCCCGGGAAGCCTTTTACAACGAAATTCCATTTAAATGGAAATAGGTGGGGGGGGGGGGGGGATTACTGACACAGTGACACCCCCCCCCCCGTGACGCCCTTGAAAATGACTTGTTAACCCTAACCCTACTAGTTTAAAACCCGGAACAATAATATTGTCACCTGATCAAAATGTCGGAATCGCCCCCTTTAAGCCTAAATACTCATTTTTTTTATCTCTTGAATATTTTTAGACGATCGAGGACAACATGCGAATGGAATGCAAATGCCACGGCGTGTCGGGATCGTGTGAGATGAAGACCTGCTGGAAATCGATGCCGACCTTCGGCGACATTGGACAGGTCCTCAAGGAGAAGTTCGACGGTGCTACTGAAGTCCAGTCCCTGAAGATCGGATCCAGACAGCAGCTGGTCCCACGCAACGCGGACTTTAAGCCTCATACCAGCTCGGACCTGGTCTATCTCGTGCCATCCCCAGATTTCTGCGAAGAGGACTTGAAGGTAGGCATACTCTGTAGGTCTAAAGAATGTTGGTCAGATTTATCAGAATGTCGGTCTCGGTGTCTTCTAAAGATTCATTATATTATAGTTCACTATACAGACCAATATATATCGTACGGGTTTGCTAGACCGATATCGGGTCATTGGTCTTGTGAGCTTTTTGTCTCATGGGCTGTCGGTCTACTGGGATGTTCTAATCTTAATTTGTGAGAACTTGATACAACCGGGATTTCTTCTCTTACAATTGGAAATTGATATAGCAGTTTTGTTTAACAAAGAACTTGGAAAGTATACAGTGTGTTACCAACAAGTTGACCTTTCTAATGATTGTATCGATGCTTTTTTAATTCAATGACCATTAGTAAAATTCCTTCATCAGTTCCAAACAAATAGAAAAGTGTTAGGCCTTTTGAAAGTTCTTGTTATGTTTTAAGATCTTTATTATCACCATTCATAGACCATATTCTTTCTTTGTGCTTCCTTCCTTCTTTCTCTTACCCACCAAACCAGGGATCACTGGGAACTCATGGACGACGCTGCAACAAGACATCGAAGGCCATCGACGGCTGCGAGCTCATGTGCTGTGGTCGAGGTTTCAACACTCATATCGAGGAGGTGATTGAGCGCTGTAGCTGCAAGTTCCACTGGTGCTGCTACGTCAAGTGTCGGAATTGCCATCGGACTGTGGAGGTGCATACGTGTAAATGAACGCGTGGGACCGAGACGATGGCGCCGTATTCGCGTTTGACCAAACGCGTTTAACCGTGCGTGCGTGCGCCACTTATACTCTCCACGCGATTCGGCGTTTGTGATTGGACAATATTTATCATCACGTGATGGACTGTCGTTACAGAATCTTACAGTATTCTTTTTCACACAATGGCCTTTCTGTAAATCACCGGGGCAAACTCTTTGCCGGAACAGCCGTGACTCTGAGAATTTATAAAAACCTTTGAGCTAATTTGTTTGATAAGAATAAATGTATGGGTTGATGTTTTGTATGAATGCGTTTAAACAAGACTTTTGTAGGCTTTATAATTGTCGTCCGCAGGTTATCGTCACTGCATTTGCGTGTTACTTTAACACAACAATGCATTGATGATACCATAAGACTACATCATAAAATTCTGAAAATGGAACTTATCAATGCATTAGAAGTTAAATTCATTGGTGTATTGTTCTAAAACACAAGCTCTACAAGATATCTGTAGATGGTATGGCATTGCAATTTGGGAATGAAAATGGTCGGCAAGAGTAGTATGCAGCGGCGGATCCGAAATTATTATGATTCCGTAATGTCCGAGAAGTAATTAAAAATGGGGATCATACATTTCTCAAAATTACATCAGTAGGGTAAAAAAATATGCAAGTGGTCTGAAACCCCCCCCCCCCCCCCCCCCCAAAAAAAAAAAAAAAAAAAAAAATTGGGAGGGAGACCTCTGAAATTACAATACCGCACTGAAGGCACAATGTGTTTGTATACATCAGTGTCTGTATACGATTTAAGATATACAAACTAGGCCTATAATTTGAAAAATATCAAGCATTCATTATCTACACGCATGTATAGGATTGTTCCTCCAAAGTGCCTCTGTGCTCAGCCTCGAACTATTTACACATTTTTATTGAAACAAGAAGGTACTTGATCATTGTAACTGAATTTTATCAAAATGTGTTTGTGTGGTGTACATTTCCTTTTAAGCAAAACATTTGTACAGTATTTCTTGTTCATACATGTTTTTTGTGTATTGTATTGTACTACTGTAAAAAGCAAAACAGTTTTGTATCATAACGTCTTCCTCTTATCTTGTGATATATGAAAAATAATATTTGAAACATATTACGCGCATGTAGCCAAATAATGCATAATTTAGTAACGTTGATTTTTTTTAGTCAATGTTTTGTTGGTGATATTATTCATGTATTGAGTAATCTTTCAAATTCATTATTTTGTCATTTGCATTTATTCTTTAATTTAATAGGGCAAATAAAGTTTCCTTTATGACGAGTACCCATTTTGTTCCTCTTTCGGATTTTAAAAATCAATTTCTTTACCTCCACATTCAAATTCTTCATAGAAATACTGCGTAACTCATTATTGAAATCTATTCCACGAATTGTAATGTTTTAATTGTAAATGTATCTTGGTTGTCATTTACATGTATATTGTACTTTACCCGTCAGTATTTTAGAATTACGAAGAAACTTTGTTTGTAATTTTTTGGATTTTGGATTGACCCGCTAGAAAACATCTTAAAATGCCGAATAATTAGTATAAAAAAGCATCATGAGACAAATTACGCGATAAAGATGGCTTTATTTACCGTTTATTTAGTAAGTATTACTCAAAGTATAACCATGTGATAAAAGAACAAATGGAACGATATCACTGCCAGTTTTACACCAATTTTATTATTTTGGGGTCTGTATGGAAAATAATTTGGCCAATTACTTTAATTTCTCTTTGAAATTGAGTAATCGTACAAAATGCTGCAACCAATTTTGATAATATTCATCAAGTCTTTAGAAAATTACGTATTGTTGAAAAAAGTTCATGGAAATTTTAACCTTTCTTTCGATATTCGTATTGTTTGTTATTTATATTTCACGGATAATTTGAATTTTAGATGTAAAACACCAAGAGGCTTTGAGTCTGTTTGTAAAATGTACTACTAAAGAACATTGTAATAAAGCATTGATAAATGGAATTTAAACCAGAGTAATCGCATGTCCTTTACATTATTTACCAAATTTGGCTGTCTTGAAATTTGTTCTGTTTGTAATAAATTAAAACGTCAGTTTGGTGCCAGGGTGAATACTTCATGCTGATTTAGAGGCTTGTTCGGATGAAAGGGGTAAAAGCCCCTGCCCCCTTTTGAAATTTAATCGACTTACCTTGACTCTTGATTGAACAGCGCAAAATATTCCTTATATCTCGAAAATCAAATTGTTGCAATATTTTAAAATTGGATGACAGTTGATTAAGTATTAGGTGAGCATCTTTAGTCTATAGGCGGTGTCACACAAAAAAATCCCTTAAAAAATCATTTCAAAGGAGAATTTTCTTGCTTCGTTGGATGATTTTTGAAAGGATAATTGATGACAGACAGCAAATAAGAGGATAACCTAAATCCGGATTTCTGGCCTCTGTGTGACACCGCCTACTACGTGTTTCGAAAATGACACTCATAGCTAGATCTTCATTTCCTTCTCTCATTTGCTTTCTTTTTTCTTTCAATATTAACGCTCACGCTGTATAATGTAGATGTATTATACAACCCGTCTCTGTTTTGGCACAGTAAACTCGTTTGGTTTCCATCAACCGACTCCGCGGCTCGTAAATATCGACTAAGGAGAAGCATGGAGAAACAAGAAATACCTGCTTTTATTCTGATGGACTTCACCAAAACATAATAAAAAATTTACGGCGTACAACGGTACAGAATAAAGATAAGCTCTTAATTGTAATTTATTCGGTATTTGTATGGTATTTTATAGAGTTTATAGCTACCGCATTCCACGGCCACCAGAGTAACGGCTTTATGTTTAATAACTTGTTACTTTGCAAGTATTTCTTTTTTAAACCAAGGTCCAAAGCTATGCAACGTTATGAAATCAAAAATGTCAATCCTTTTCAATACACTTCTTCCATTGGGTTTTTCTTATTTGATTATGTGTTGTAGTGCCATTTTATTAGAGAAATTCCCATTCTCAATGAAATTGAACATTTAGTAACTTCTGTTTTAGTTAAGTTTAAAAAGATGACGATATTAACAATGTGGCAACAATCTCAAAAGGAAATTTCTCACATGTTAAATGTCTAAGTGTCTAAAACCGAAAGATACCTCATCGAATATTATTTAGAAGGGTTTCCTATGCCAACAAAAAAAGACTGAAAAGCAAATCACCCCTCCCGGACGGATCAAAACATGATAGGTCTTCTTGAAAAATACATTTTTCCTGTGCATATTTCTGCCCTAATATGTCTCTGAATGAAAATTTAATGCCCAAACTTGCAACATCCAATAATGGTGTAAATTGAAGAGGTTTGTGAAACTAAATGTGACTTTTCGTTTGTTAGAGGTCATTGGCACCACCGAAACTGTTAATATTGGTCGTAAATCAAATCGTGAATGAGAAGCGGAAATGGTAAGTAGGCGTCAATGACAGATGTGTAAATAGAGAGAAATGTGAGTACATGTAGATGGAAACGAAGATATTATGGAGATATATATGGATGGATAGATAGATAGATAGATAGATAGATAGATAGCTAAATAGATAGTTAAATAGATAGTTAAATAGATAGATAAATAGATAGAAGATAGATAGATAGGTAGATATATAAATAGGCTGTATAAAGATAGATAGATGGATGGAAAAATTAATGGGTGGATGGATAGATAAATAGATGGATTGATTGATTGATTGGAGAAAGAGAGATGGAGAATGGGCGAGGGGGGGGGGGGGGGGGTGGACGAATGAGCGCCAGTTGACTCTATACTCTACGTACTATCCCCTGTCTGTTGGCAAATTTTAAATATCATTGTTATCGGCTAAAAAACGAAGGAGATAAGAATATGGTAGAAAGAGAGAGTGCGAAAGACATATGTGGATATCAAGGCGGGCTACAGCTTAAGCCCACGAGAAAAGGCAAGAAAGAGGGGAAAGGGTGAAAAAAGAAGAAGATGACCCTCTAGAAGATGGCGTTATTGATTTGCATTTCATTCATTGAAAAATACAGGTCATCCATCCGCCCCCCCCCCCTCCCGTGATACAAGTGCCCCCTGATAACTGTCTTGGCCTACGCTTCGCCCCTAACGGAAGTTACCACGTTGAATGAAGAATTCACATTTCTACGAATTCGTGCTTGCTATCACGGAGAAGCGAGTAAGAATTACAACTCTTTTGACGATACAAAATAAACACGTCTATCCAAACAAAGCGGTAAATTATATGTCATTTTCGGCTATCAAACCGCCGTTAAAGTCAATCATCGTTATTTTGAGAGGAGCATTGTTTATTGGGGAGAAAGTTATAGCTTTCTGAAGGAGAGTGGCGAGACGTTTCTTTTTAACTTTTAACTGCGATGCTGAAATGAAATGACCCCACCCCCTCTCTCTCTCTAATCGCCTCTCCTTCTCTACCCCATCCCACTTTTCTTTCCCCCACCCTTCACTCTCTATCTCTCTTCATCTCCCAATCGGTTTTTGTACCAATCGCCCTCTCTACCTCTCCCTATCACACTCTTGCTTTTCTCTCCCACTCTCTCAATCGCCTATCTCTTCCTGCTTAATGTCTCTCTCTCTCTTATCTTTCTGTCTCGGTCTCTCTCTCTTTCTGTCTCGATCTGTCTCTCTTTCTGTCTCTCTTTCATCCTGCTTTTCCCTTCCCACTTCCCTTTCCAACTCCTACCTCTCCTATCCCAATATTCTTGCCCGTCTGAACTTTCCTCTCTCTCTTTCCGTCTCGCTCTCTCTCTCTCTCACACACCAGACTCTATCAGCATCCTCACTTTTAATATTGTTCCATTGAGTCTGTACTTGCAACAAAATGCAATGACAAGCTAGAATATGTATTTTTACATTTGTTATTTGTCTCAAGAATATCCTACAAGCATTCATTCATTTTACATCAGAACTGAACAAAACAGAGTTTACAGAAATATCTTGAATGAAGGTCATTTACTGGACGTATTGGGTGTCAACTTTCAATGATGTTGAAATCTTGGTATGCGATAGCATTCATTCTGTACACTTTTATCACCATCCTGACTCTCAATATCACTTAAAAATAAGAAAACAGTAAACTGAATAAATAACCCTTTCACTTGTGATGTCAATGCAGTGCATCCATTATACATAAATATACCAAATGCAGGCTTTGGATGTATATATGTTTTGTTCAGGAGTAATAAACCTATATGTACGGATGAAATGTTACAAGAGTCCCTACCAAGTCCAGATTTGTTTGCTTGCACACCTTGTATTTATTATTTTTCAAAACCACAGAGAATACTGGCAAAATGCTTTTGACTATGTTGAGAGAAAGAATAAACCTTCCAAAACAGGTTGTTTTTGTTGGAATTACCTTTTCTCCAGACTAATTATTGGCCTTTGCATAACACACAAAATTTCAAAACAAACATGAAATTCCCTGGAATTTATCCCATCTTTAATTGAGGAACAAAATGAACTTATTACATTTATTACCTGAAACAAAATGCCTTTCACAAGACATATTATAATATACATTTCAACTGATTCAAATACCCACAGAGTCGGTGCTTGTCGGCATGTGTAGAGCGAAAGGATGTGAATCAAATTTTGTTTGTGCACCCTATAGTTCAGCAAAAATGGAGCAAGTGGCAAATATTGAGTATTTACAGAGTGTACAAAACATTGATCCAGATCAAGCCAAGGATGTGTGCCATTTTTAATTGGGATGCTTGTCTGTTACTTCACTATCCCTTTGATATATTATTTAAAGCCCCACTGCACTACTCATAGCTACTTGCGCCCTCTATATAGCAAACAATGCTTAATCGGTGACCATTGGTCCCCCATGATCCTCTTTTTCTTTTGTTAAGTGAGGGTTGATTTGATGAGATAGCCACCTGTCAGTGACCTTGCAGGGTGGTCTTATCCCTCCTGAAAATTAGTACAGATGGGCTTTAAAGGTGTCCTAGTTTGTTTTAACAAGAAAGACATATACATCACCATAATCCCCTGGTAACATTTGGTGAAATACATGTACAAAGGATAGACCAGATAATCTCTTATCTCTGAATTGTATTATTCTTTGTTGTATAATTATCAATTTGTAAACACTAATTAATTTCAAATTTGTAATGGAATCAGCCTTCATATGCTAATTATAGGCTCCACACAAACTTCTCCACTATTTGAACTTCAGATTTATGAGGGTTCAAAGTTTAAAATGTGGTCCTCCAGACCTTTTGGCGCCATGTGCACCAAATCCCGTCAAGCCCTAACTGATCATCACTTGCTCTCATTTTACCAAAGTAAACTATACAAAACAGAAATGGTTTATTCTATAAGTCTAGTTGTATGTCATGTAGCGTGGCGTGGAGCTGAATTTGGCGTATGCCTTGATGACCTTGTTGATGGCATCTCTGAAGTCCTTCTCGCTGGCAACCTTCTTCCTAGCTCTGATGGCAAACATACCAGCCTCCGTGCACACACTGCGGATCTCAGCACCTGATCAAAAGGATAGGAATGACCAATATTAATGACAAGGTTTTAGGTTTTGTTTTGTAAAGGTCAATCTTATACTTCAAGAGTTTCTTCTTCAACTAAGTTAAAGGGCCAATCTAACCCAGGTAACATAGCCTTTTAAAACATGAATACACCTCTACTTATTAATATTCCAGACTCTGATTTTTCAGAAAATCTCTAACTTGACCAAAAAATGATAATAACCATTCTTTTTTCACAGATCTCACGCTTGCTGGGATATGCCCCTCGAAAAAAGGTAATACGGCCACGTGTCTTGATGACGCATTTGACGTCATTGCGGGCATGTCCAATTTGTCCTACAACTAAGGAGCTTACATTCTCATTGTAATCCATAATTAGAAATGACAAAATTGCCAGAAACGTACTGGGATTATCAAGTGCATATCATCATTTTTAGGATAAATTTCTTTTTTTTCTTCAATTGATATCATAGTTTGCCTTTTTAAAGACATTTTAATGCCTAAATCACCCTCCTTTTCACCGGAGAGGCTCCTGCAGTGACATCATATGCTATTGCGCAATACACTTCCAAAACTGGGCTTTTTTTTGAGCGTTTTAAAAGCTAGATTCCAGAATTATTGATTATTTCTAAGAAAAATCATTGTCATGTTCGGAATCTCCGTCAAAAATTATTCTACATGTCTTTTTTTCATTTTTTAGCCTGTTTTGGTTAGAGTGGCCCTTTAATGCTTCAGTGCGCCTTAAAAGGTCCCTCACCTTACAACAATTTCACCATGCATTTGAACATCCCTTTTTCAAGCCATGCTATAATATGACATTTTACTTGAAGTCTGAAGCTGAAGTATTGCGTTATATATTGTATTTTTTGTTTTGTTAATAATAATAAACTGACACTTACACCAAAATCTGTATCATATTTTAGGTTGGCAACTCATATGATTCCCTTCCTTTCTGACTGCTACCTATCAGGCATCTTATGTGATAATTTTTCTACTTATGTCATATTCTCTGTGTAGATTTTGTTTAAATGGCTTTGGTTAGATAAAACTAAAGTGGAATTGGAATTACTTGTGTATATGTATTAAGCTAACTCACCAGTACAGTTTGGACAGAGCCTGGCCAGCAGCTCATACCTGATGTCCCTCTCCACACTCATGGATCGAGCGTGAATCTTGAAGATATGTGAACGACCCTGGATACAGACAACAGAAAAACAATATTTATTTATTACATAAGTAGGAACAATAAGGCTCTGTCCCACATGATGCGGCATAAAAAAAAAATTGCCAAGGCAAAATAACATGACATAAGTGGAGCACACTTTAAATTTCTGTATCTTGTAACATATTCTTCCACGTTATGAATAAAGCTAATATAAGCTCAAATTATATTTCATCTTTATCAGAACTTAACTTTCTCTTTTTAACCACAGATAGTGCACACATTGGGTGTGGGCAAGCCTGGATCCGATGACCGGGTTAACAACACAACTATAACAGCTTTAATAGTGACATCCAGGCGCGTACGCAGGGGGGGGGGGGGGGGTTTGGGGGGTTAAACCCCCCCCCTTTGGAAATTTTTGTGTGTAAACCCCCCTAAAAAAAAACCTAAAACCCCCCCCTTTTGGATTTTTTTTTTTTTTTTTTTTTTTTTTTTTTTTAATTATTAAAAAAAAAAAAAAAAAAAAAAAAAAAAATTTATTCCCATGACCGACCTAAAAAAGGTGACCTTACCCCCCCCCCAACGGAGCAAAATGTCAAATTTCCAAATTTCGAGACCAAAAAAAAAAAAAAAAAAGTGTCCTCTTACCCCCCCCCCCCCCCCCCGCTTATTCAGCGGCTGGCTGAGTCGTTGCGAAATTTTCGGACCGATTTATAAATGTTAAAACCCCCCCCTTTAAAAAATCCTGCGTACGCGCCTGGTGACATCATTGATGTATTAAGCAATATATAAACCCAGAATATTTTCATTATCGTCAACTGACCTCTAAGTCTGGCAATCCAAACTCCACCTTCCTGTCCAGTCTTCCTGGTCTAACAAGGGCGGGGTCTAGTGTGTCGGGTCGGTTTGTTGCCATGAGAACCTTGATGTTACCACGGGGATCAAAGCCATCAAGCTGGTTGATGAGTTCCAACATGGTTCGCTGGACCTCATTGTCACCTCCTGCTCCGTCGTCAAACCTGGCACCTGGATGATACAGATCAAGAATAATGAATTAAGTTATAATAATGAAAATGATGATAATACTAATAATAATAATACATAACATTTATTAGGCGCTTAATACTGATGTTTCTAAGCGCACAGTGTTCTGATTAAGAGAAGACTATAACCCGTAGAATTAAATTAGAAGAAAAAGCAAAAATACAAAAGTAACATAGATAAGGTAAGAAAAACAGTGGCAATCAACTAAATAAAGACAAATATGGTGCGCACCTCCATTGACCGGCGCACAACTGCAATTTACAATTTGAAAAGATAGGTTTTGAGTAGAGATTTGAATTGAGATACAGAGTGGGCGCAGTGAATAAAGGCGGGCAGTTTGTTCCAGAGAGCGGGGGCAATAACTGAAAAGGCGCGGTCACCATACCGGGTGTTAGTGCGGGGTCCAGGTGTTAACAGTAATGTGGAAGATGAACGAAGTGTTCGTGACGACGTACGGGAACGTAAGGATATGAGATCGGAAAGGTAAGAGGGGGCTAAGCCATTGATAGCTTTGTAGCACAGGAGAAGAATTTTGAAGGAAATGCGGTGGTGAATTTTAAGCCAATGTAGTGAGTTCAATATTGGAGTTATGTGCTCTGATTTACGCGAGAGAGTCACAAGCCGAGCAGCGCTATTCTGTACCCTTTGAAGAGGAACTAGATGTGACTGAGGTAGGCCAGAAAGAGAAGAATTACAGTAATCGATATGGGTCGAGACAAAAGCATGGACTAATTTTGAAGTTGTGGGTCGGTCAAGTAGCCTCCTGATTCTACTGATCTTATATATACCAAAGGAAGCAGACTTACAAATATTACTAATGTGTTGTTTGAAAGTAAGATTGCTGTCAATATTTAAACCAAGGTCACGCACAGAAGCACAACAACTGAGAGAGCCATCACTCATAACAAGATCAGGAAAGGGGTCTGAGTTCCGAAATTTAGAAGTAATATGAATCATTTCAGATTTTGAATCATTAAGGCAGAGACAGTTTTGAAAAGACCAGGTTTTGATTTCATTGAGGCAACTGGTGAGTTTGTTCGCGGCTACTGTCCTGCTGTTTGGGTGAAGAGTTACATAAATCTGGGTGTCGTCTGCATACATAGTGTGTTGAATATTCTGATGAAGGTTAATAACATTTGAGAGAGGGCTGGTGTAAAGAATAAACAGGAGGGGGCCGACCACGGAACCCTGAGGAACGCCGCAGATCAACCAAAAAATTACTTTTTTTTTTACGAGGGCTCTTTTCAGATTTTCCCTTAAAAAAATAGCCCCCCTTAATTATTTTGCGGTGGCTATTTTGGAGCTCAGGGGGGCTTTTTTTTTTTAAAGGTTGTATTTTTTTTAAACGCGGTTTTACCTAATTAAATTCCAAGCAAAGGCAAATATAGATACAATTGTAGCGTACATATGTCATGTAGAGTATTGCAGACATTCAGATACCCATGATTTATTCACTTTGTGTTAAACGTGTGGCTTTATGATTTACATATACATGTAACTAAAACTTGTCAAAAGGAGTGTTTTGTTTAACTGTTCTTTTTTCATATCCTAAGAAAATATTATCACTGACACGCGGGCTGGGAATTAATTTTTTTATGGGGGCTACTTTTACCCATTGCCTAAAAAAAAACAAGGGGCTACTTCCTTAAAGCCATATTGTAAGCTGTAACAATAAGTTGTGTTTTTCCTTAGCCATCATACTACCTACCAAATTGGTAGGTAATATGTTATTTAGTCTTTTTTTCTGTCCCAAATTTAATTGTTATCATGGACAATGCAATCCCATTAAAAAAAAAGTAGACCAACTCCCTTTAAAATTGTGTAATTTAGACCATTTATAACCATTAAATGTGAGTAAATATTTTTACTGTTGTCCCACATACCGATGTAGGGTCTATTTGTTATGCCAAAACATGCAAAATCATGGCCTTATTTTTTTTATAGACTCTAATTCTAAAGGCCAAGCCAAAGCTAGTTTCATTTCGTAGACAGAAATTGATGTCATCATCACTCATGACAATTGGCCTGGCATCGATCGTATATAAATAATTTAATTTAATTAAACAGTTGTAAGAAAGATTCTGAGGAGTAGGAACATCCTTTATATATTTATTTACGGTTTTTTTATAACAAAATTCAATTTCTGTGTACGAAACTTGCTTTATACCGATTTTACAGGAAAAAATCCGGCATTGATTTTGCACGTTTCGTTATTACAAATATATCAGTATGTGGGACAACAGTAAAAATATACTCGCATTTAATGGTTTTAACTTATAAATAACACAATTTTAGACGGAATAACATTTTTTTTAATGGGATTGCATTGTCCATAATAAAAATTAGGGCCAGAAAAAAGACTAAATAAACATATTACGTACCAATTTGGTCGCTAGCAGTTGAGCTCTCGTCACTCGCAAATACTTCTTTGCTTCATACAAGGAGCGTGCGGGCGCGCGCTGGAGCTGAGCTAGTATTGTGAACGTGTACGTGTGCGAACTGCGTATGCATTCATGCTGTGCACGAAACTACATCGGGGCCGGTGGCCTGTCCGGCCGCCGGGAGCTTAGGCGCAGGCAGGCGGATACCGCTGTAGATCTAGCTACAGTAGGTACGACCGCCGATCCGCTGCAACTCACAAAACTTTTAAAATGTTGATGGAAGTTTCTAGTTTTGGAGTTGGTAGTTGGAACGGAGATTTCACTCAGACACATAAATAAATTGGTTTATTAATTCATAGGGAATATCAATTTATGGCGGGGGCGATTTTTCAAGATATATTGATTTTTTTTCGCCCTCGTCTTGATTTTTACCGTGGCGATTTCAGAGGTTTAGGGGGCGAATCGCCCGTCGCCACCGTGTATTTTTTTCGTTGTCGCAGATGAGGGGAAATGATTCCGAGTTGGTGTCATTGATGATCACCTTCTGAGTTCGGTGCATGAGATAGGAGCGAATCCATTGAAGTACGGTGCCGGTGATGGAGAAGTCGTTCTCTAAGCGATGGAGTAACAGGTCGTGGTTGATAGTGTCAAATGCGGCAGTGTAATCAAGCAAGATGAGGACAGCTTCATTACCCTTATCTACAGCTAGAAGTAGGTCATTTAGGACCTTGACAGTTGCAGTCTCAGTAGAATGATGATTCCGATAGGCAGATTGGTGGATTGGAAACAAACCGAGATTGTCAATGTGGGCTTTCAGCTGTAGTGACACAATACGTTCCAAAACCTTCCCAAGGAATGGCAGGTTTGCGATGACTAATAGTAATAAAAACAATATTGTCTTAATTAAAGGCATTGTTTATCAATGCTTCCAGTTTTACAAATCTGAGATGCATAGCCTTATGTGTTATCAGTGTCTGTGATATGGTGTAATATTGCGCTTCAAAATGATCATTGAATCAAATTTGAGTGACTAGTTTTACCATACATACTCATTTTCCCCAATAGACTGTAGTGTTATGAAAAACATTGGGAAAACGGTTTTTGAACTTTCAAATTTCAAATCATAAATATCTTGATAATCAGACAGGCGATCGGCTCGTAAAAGTCACAGGATTCCTGACCGACCTAAAGGTTTATAATTATGATTGCAGCATGAGCTAAATCCAGGATTTTTTTTAGAATCTGAGACAAAGATACTCAATCCCTTTAATCAGAAAGTTTTATCTGTATTCATACTTTTCTTTGTGATGGTCCAGCAATTTTTATCACCCCAACATTTTAATACACCTGAGTTGAGATGGACGAAGTTGACTAAAACACTGTCCACAAATGGACACACAGAGCTTGGATCAAACCAAGAATCTCTCATATGGGGTCTATAGTAGACACTTCATAAAACTCATGACATATTTTCAGCAGTAGCCACAAAGTAAGAGTTACATTCTTACATCTCATTTGCCTCTAAAGAACCAAACAATTCAGAACTTAGAAAGGCACCTACATCTATACTGTACAAAAATATCTCACCTCCAATTGCATCAATTTCGTCAAAGAAAATTAGGCAAGCCTTCTTGCCTCTGGCCATCTCAAAAAGCTCTCTCACCATCCGAGCACCCTGCAAAGAAAATAGATGTGCAGAAGTAAGTTATATGGGAATTGCTAAAGCGAATCAATTTAAAATGTCATTTTAATCAACATCAAAAGCTAGGATATTTAAAAAACTAGGCTTTTTCTGGTGCTGAATTCATAACTGCACTTCGTTACTCATATCCTCATCAAATTAGTTAGAAATACAAGACATTTTATCTAGTCTGTTATATTTGGTTAATTCAGCTTTAGTGTTCATAGTTAATCTGGAGAAACTTGCATTGTATATTCTTTGTACAAACACATGGGATCTTGTTAGGTATATCTACATGAGATATAAGCATCCATTACTACTTGTACCCTGTTTTACAACTCCCCTGTTTGTATTTGAATATGAAATATTTCAAATGGTAAACTCTTCACACATCACCCTGCAACTACAACAGAAGAACTTGATAGAAAACACACATACTCTGAAGTTGCTATCCATGGAACCTTATCTTGACTCACCTCCCCTACATATTTCTGCACCAGCTCTGACCCAATGACCCTGATGAAGCAAGCATGCATTCTCTTAGCCACGATCACAAGCTCTTTTTGCATATATAATGAGCCCCATGACCTTTGACCTTGTGACCCCAAAATATAATCAATTCATTGGCTGCAAGATACATACATGACCTAAGTTGACTCACCTCTCCTACATATTTCTGCACCAGCTCTGACCCAATGACCCTGATGAAGCAAGCATCTGTTCTGTTAGCCACGGCCCTGGCGCAAAGCGTCTTACCGGTCCCGGGAGGCCCGTACAGTAGGACACCCTTGGGAGGCTCAATACCTAGGTTCACAAACCTCTCCGGCTGCAAACAAGAACAAGAAACATAACCATGACAACAAACATTCAGCAAATACACTGAAAAAACTCAGAACAAGACATTCATGTATTTCAACCCAAAAACCTTGCATGGACATTTATTGCAGAGTTCCTTATGCTCAATAGAAATATCTGACAGAAAAGAAGCCCAAATATAGTGTCGTCAAAGATTTTTTCTTATTCTGAATCAACAGCACAAACTCCATCTTGTATATTTGTAAACTACTATAGCTCCATTCAGATATGACATGGTTAACAGCTAAAAAAAGAAACAGCAAACTAAAATGAGATCAGGACAGTACGCATCATAATCTCTATCTTATCACATACATAGTTGTTAGATGCTGCTTGTAAGTATCGGCTTGCATGGTGATGTAGATATACAGTAGGCTTGCGGGTGCACCACTGTATACATAGTTGTTGTGTGTGTTACATTTCTTTCCGAAGCCCCTTTTGACATTCATGTCAATGGAAAATAGCAGTAAATAAAGAAATACTGCATTTTTTTCGTCTTAGCAGTCATCAGGGTAAATAGCAAGAATAAACAGAAAGTCAAATCTGACAATCTTTCATTTTCGAGCAAAGTTTTCTTAGGTCTTTTACTGTGTCATATCTGGACAGGGCACAAAAAAGGTTGTACAAAATTGCATACATTGACAGACTAAAGCTCAAATTACAAACTGGGCCCCCTTTGCCGCCTGATTCCATACTTACATGTAGTAGAGGTGTTTCTACAACTTCCCGTAGTTTGTCGATTTGTTCTTTACAGCCTCCGATGTCGGAGTAGGTCACGTCTGGCTTTTCTTCAACCTGAATAATACATAAAGAAATGAGCCGTCACCTTCATGGTATAAAAAAATCAAAACAGAAGTACTTTCTCAAGAATATCTTACATGGGAATGATCCTTCTGACATAAAAATGTCAGGTGCGACACTACTAAAGAGAGAGAGAGAGAGAGAGAGAGAAAAAGAGAGCGCATACTTGATAATTAATGAACTGACCTGCATCATGGTAACCGTTGGGTCAATCTTGGGTGGCAGTGGAATGTGAATCTGGTACTTGTTACGATCAACCCTGCCAAACAAAAATTTGAGGAAAAGAAAATGAGAAACCAACATAAATAAGGAAATCCAACAACACTTTTTTGCTGTACATATTCAATAGAAATTATGGATATTTAACATAAGACATGAGCCACCACACATGCAGGCAATTTTAATCATGGTGTATAGGACATTAAGACATTATTTAGAGCCTATAGACTGTAAACATGAAATATTGCTAATTTACAACAAATGACAATATAATGAATCCATAGAGCACTTAATACATCTATGATGTCACTATTGCTATAGATTTCAGCAAAAATTGGATTCATTTCTTTGAAGATACAAATAATAGAGAATTCTTACCCGACCCTCATGCCCTCTTCTATGTCTGTCGGTGCCACGTTATCGTGTAGGTCCACCACAAACTTGGCGAACTGTTTGACGTTGATGATGTACTTGGCATCCTCCGTGTCTGCATTGATGATCTTTGTGCATCGAGCCACCTGCAGAGGCTGCTCGCTGGTAAGGGTTTGCTTGTCAGCCTGCAGATCCCATAGCGCAGGGTTGGCTAGTCCTGTGTCGGATTCCTTGATACCTGTGCCCGAATGAAAGTACATACTGATGAGCACATTAGGCCTAGAAAAAAGATGTTGTATTGCCCTTTAGGTGCCAAAACATGGGTCGGTCAGTCGGTTGGTCGGAAATCTTCTTTTTTTTAAAACTTTTTTTTCTCCCTCTTTGGGTTGATGTTTTTCAGTTCTGAATGCTTTAATATTTTTTTCTCTAAAAAAACTGTAACAAAAAAGAAGATATTTAAAAAAGCAGACCATAGATTTCAAGATATTTGATTAAGCCTTGAAATAGTTATCAACATGTAGACCATTATCAAGTCACTGCAGTAATCACTATGAACATGACTGACAAAGAAAGCGGACAAAATATACAGTTCCTCAGGTAGACAAAGGAACATCCCTTCACTGCTATTATGTAAAAATGTGTAGAACAGGTGTCACATGCATATTCACCTTCTTACATAATAGCAGTGAAGGGATGTTCCTTTGCATGTGACACCTTTTGCATATGCATGTGACACCTGTTCTACACATTTTTACATAATAGCAGTGAAGGGATGTTCCTTTGTCTACCTGAGGAACTGTATATTTTGTCCGCTTTCTTTGTCCTTCATATTCATAGTGAATAGTGCCTGGTGTAAGCTCAAGGTTTTCTGTGAATCTTTAATTTTCAAACTTTTTTTAGGCCTTTTCAATGCTCCTGATAAGACGAAATTTGAAAGTTAAAGATTCACAGAAAACCTTGAGCATACACCAGGCACTATCACTGCAGTGACTTGATAATTGTCTACATGTTGATAACTACTTCAAGGATATTTTGAGCAGCAATTTCAAGACAAATAATGCCCATTAACATTGGGATCAGTCTACTTTCAAAGGTACTAATCATTCCCCATAAAGACTGGGAGAGGAATAACACTGCAAGAGTGTACCGTACTAGAAGGTCAGAGAACAGAGGTGTGTGGGAAATGTTGCAATCAATCTGTAAACTGGGTAATTATCGCATGGTTGATATTTTATATTTACCTGTAAGTTCATTGACCCTCTTGACGATGGCTTGGATGTCATCTTCTACTTGCTTGATTGGTTTTGTGTAGGGCCCAGCTCCCTAAAAAATAATCAAAACAAATAGTCAAATTAAACTTTCATACTAGCAATTGTAATTCATCTTCAAAGAAAATAATGAATTTCAATTGAATACTTATTCAAATAACCTGTTTATTTAAACAACTGTAATCAATTATCAAATTAAATACTTGCAAAATAGCACAAATTAATTTTACACCAGAAAATGTTTTAATAATTTCAAATATACAGCCTAACAGCTTCCTCTACTGACAAAAAAAGTGTGGTTTTTCTAGGTTTCAAGATCTTAACTTAATTGGTCCTCTATTTTGGTGTTAGCTACATCACAAATCCACCCTCATTCAATCACATTGAGAGGCTATGTTTAATACTTTGTATCAATTTAAATAATTTCATGAAAAATCACACCATGATAATTGATATAATAAGTAGATAGTAAAATATGGATTTGCATCACTTCAAAGTCACACTTTATCGTCTATCTTTATTCTCACTCTCAAAGACTCAGTACAGGGCAATCTCATAGATGGCATCAAAGATATTTTGCCAGTTTGATTCATTGCATGAAAGTGAAATTATGTCATACTTACATATGATTTGAGAAGTGCGATGTCTCCTTCATCCAAGGCTGTAAGTATTAAAAAAACATAGAGATAAGATAATAAAACATAAAATAATATTTAAAAAAAGGATAGACAGGAATGTAAAAAAAAAGGTAAACATGAAATTTGGCAAAACTATCTGTATTGTGTGACTTGGTACTATCGAACGCTCTCTGTTGTCTTGCAGAGCTTGCGTCCTTGCGAGATAATGAACTTGGTCCATATCACCAAATTACCATTTTGTGTTGATTATTGAAGCTTGTTGTAACAATGTCCACACTGATGATACGATAGAAATGAAGAGCTAATGAAGACATGAGGAGGCGAGTGGGCTCCTGCGTTGTGTGTTAACGTGCCCTTCCCTTGTTCATAGACGCAGGCTATGCTAAGTGGAAAACACTCCTTCCCTCGGATAGGACATTAAATGGAGGCCTGTGTACAGGAGAGTCACCACCCTTGCACGTTAAGAACCTTATTGAACTAGAGTTCTACCGTATTTGCCAGCGTAAAGGCCGCAGTATTTTTGGAAGAGAAAATATCAAAGTCGGGGTGCGGCCTTTACGACGAAAGATTAAAAAAAAAATAACGAAAGTCAAAACCAACACAAATTTGCACGTATGGGACTAGAAATGGTAAAATAACAATACCACTATGGTACAGGACAATTCCAAACATCTTACCGACAATTGACATGAAGACGGAAAAAAAACGTCCTAACACAACATTTGCCGATAGATCTTGATCTAAGTTCGTGCCAATGCATTGCGAAAGTAAAGGAAGGGACAGTCTAACGGAGCTGCCGCGAACATCCATCCGAAGTCGCCATTTTGTTTTTCCATTTCATGCAGTTTCGCATTACACCGTACATTGTGGTAGGGGTATATCGGACACCAAATCTGCCTGCGATCACTTTTTTAGCTAAACTTCCAGTAAATTATAAGAATATGGATGAATTTGGTATCAATTTGTAAAAAAAAAATAGTGTGAAAATTATGATTATTTTGTTTTATCTGTTTGTTTTTTTTTCCTTTTTTTTTTCCCCCTCTTTACCCCTATGCGGCGGTGCGGCCTTATCGCCGGCAAATACGATATTCGTATAAGAGTAGGGCCAAACCGCGGTAGATCTATATAGAGTAAAGGAGCCCGTTTTCGGCCACTTAAGACAAAATCCTATTTTTAGGACTCTTTACTTCCTATTTATTATCATTTCTTGTTCAAATCATGAAGCAAATATTATTATTATTTAAAGAAAAAAAGAATCCCAGAAAAAAATCACGAATTGCCATGACAATATTCATTTCAATTTTCACTGTTTTGGAGCCAGTTATCGGCCGAGCGTTTCAGTTTACGGCCGCATGTACAAAGTCAATAGGAAGCGCTCGCGCGCGCAGTGCGTTTCCGCGCTGATGTACAGCACAAGCGGGCGGAGCAGGTATCCCACGCCGGAGCTCCCTGGTGCTCGCTTGGCCGAAGACAGGCACAGCGGTGATCGGAAGTTGGAATCTGAATTAGACAGAGATATCGTGTGTGCGTCGCGGTGTGCGGCTGCATTGATTTAATACATGCGATGAGATACTTTTGAGCTTGCGACTAGCACAAAATCGGGCTCTAAATCTGAAAAATACTTGAAATAAAGCTCATTTTATGGTACCCATATTTCTTACAGACACGCGTAAGATACTTGATTTTTCAGATTTGGGTAACGGGACCGGCGATTACATCACTAAAATGTGATATTTTAGGATATATTTTCCATTGCAAATGTGGTTCTTCAGTGACACTGGCATTGTATGGTATGTGTGGGATACCGGTATGTGTTATGCTATTATGCGATGTATTTTAGAGCGATTTTACCTTGCATCCAACCAATCGGCCGAAAACTGGAGCTGGCCGATTACCGGCTCCTTTACTCTACTATAATGGTCCACCTGCACACCCCAATCAGGCCGTGTAGTCTATGGCATCTGCAAGAATCTTCAGTAATTATTGAAGGAGGCAGATTATCTTGAACTGGAAGAAGAAGAACTCAGACAAGACCCAAGTCAAAAAGACTGGAAGTTAGTGCCGAATTTCCTGACGTCACTTTAATAAAATAAATTGCAATTGAATCGGATCCATTTAAAAAATATAATCCATGATCACAATTAAATTCATAGCATTCAAGTAGACTATAAAAAGATCTATCGACCGTAATGCGCAACGCCATTTGCAAGCCGCACCACACACAGCCAGGGCAGAGCGAGCTAGCTAGCCCAGGCCAAGCTGGTCGCCCGGGCCTCCCGGGTGGTATCTGTGTCATATCGGCTTCGCTTCGCACGCGCCGCTCCAGCTGACAAAAGTTTTTCAAAAACCGATTGTTTCAGAGTGAAATCTCATTAATTTTTATGATTTTTCCCAACATAAAACATGATAAAAATATACTTACATTGAATAGGTTTGTCTTCTTTATCTTCAGTCTTTGTTTTTCGCATATCACTACCCAAGTGGTCCGGCATTTTGTATCTTTTTTCAGGAAAATCAAGTCGAGAGAAAGAAACTTCACGTCACAGCACAGGCGATGGTGAATGGGACTGAAGAATTTTTCAATGATTCAACAAAATGTAACGGTAGAAACTAGCAGATAGATTTTGTATAAATGCCAATTTAAGACGTTGCTATATGGGGTAGAATTTCAAAGATAATCTTGAATGCAATTTTAGAAAAAATAATTAATATGCATGTGTTATCACTTTAAAATCATTTTGTTTACGTTTATTTTTTTCAATCTCTTTTAATTGATTTAATTACGAAATTTAATTGTAAAATACTCTCATACATGTACTACTATTATTATGGATCAATAAACGAAGTTAGCATTGCAAATGACGGTGTGACCGCACCGTTTGTCCTACCAGTTTCGTTTGTCCGTCGGACATAACATGCGGGTTTTCTGCTCGCATCGATCGTCCGTGCGGTTTGCTATCCGCACAGTCTGTCCTCATTTTGTTTTACGTGTATATTTGATAAAAGGAAGCAACTCGGTAAATCATGTGGTAGACATTTTTTCTAGATATTACATAATAATAACTCTCTACAATTTTTTTTTAAAGCAAATGGGGCAGTCCTTTTGAAAGTAGAAGTGAATATTTTATTTAAAACCTTTATTCTATGGATATCGGCCCCAAAACTGTTGTAATCGATTATACTTTTGTACGTGGCTTCGTTCTTCAACCAACTCACTACTGTCCAGGAAAATAAAAGTGATTGAAAATGTGGTTGAAAGTGAGTGGGGGAGGCTAGAATATTTAAGATAAGGTAGAGCGTAGCACAAATTGGCGGATGCTCAGGGTGTAGGGGCATTTAATTACGGTCAGATGAGCATATTTTCATACCTTATTCATGACACTAGCAGGTCAATAATTGGCGTATGGTCCAAGGGGTGGAGCCCCCGGAAGCGCAGGGGTTTTAGGCATTAAAATTACGGTCAGATGAGCATCCAGGGGCCAGCCTTAGGGCACAAGGTGGGATCAAGGGGGCAGAGCCCCCGGAAGCTCAGGGGTATGGGCATTTAATTATGGTCACATGAGCATACTTTCTTTTCTATTTCTTTCTATTTAATTATCTTTAATATACTTTTTCAAAAGTGTGGGGGGGGGGGGGGGGGGGCTTGAGCCCCCAAGCCCGCCGTTCCACAGGTCCTGACAAGTATTGTTTTCCTGATCCGTATATAGGACAAGGCCCTGGGGCAGCTTGCCATGCATAATCCGATATTTGGGTCGTTTTCCGGTCAGAACTAGCCCTTACTATCATTCCAGGATTTTGTTTCAGAACCTGAGACAAAGTTACCCAATCCCTTTAAGTTTCAAAAAGTAGACTTCATTGACAAGTACAAAGGCTTAGGGACCGGGGGGGGGGGGGGCTTGGGGGGCTCAGATATCATTGAGCCCCGCAAAATATTTTGCGGGGCTTATAGATATCATTAAGTCCCCCAATTTGTCGGTGGGGCTTAGATATCATTGAGTCCTTAGGGGCTAAGATACCATTGAGCCCCCAATATTTAAGCGGTGCTCAGATATCATTGAGCCGCCCCCGATACTTATTGCGGGGCTCGGATATCATTAAACCCTCCCCCCTCCTCCCCAATCATTATATTCTAGGCATGAAACTCATGTATACCTATAATCTACAGGCTTACCATTCAAATATAAACATTTTATAAATATTTATTTGGGGAGGAGGGGGGGGGGGGGGGGAGCTCAGACATCGGATCTCGCATACCATTGACCCCCAAAAATATATTTGGTGGATCTCAGATAATTATCATTGAAACCCCCAAATATTTTGGCGGGACTCTGATATCATTGAGCGCCCCCCCTTATTTTGGTGGGGCTCAGATATCTTTCAGCCCCCCTCCCATATGTTTGTGGGGCTCAGATATCACCCAATTGTTTTTTGTGGGGCTCGGATAACATCACGGAGCCCCCCGATATTTGTGTGGGGCTCGGATAACATCACGGAGCCCCCCGATATTTTGTGAGAGGCTCGGATATCATTGAGCCCCCCCCCCCATATTTTGGCCGGGCTCGGTTATCATTATCATTATAGATTGGTGCACATCATTATGCTCGATCATCCTCTCCTATCTGTTTGATTTCATTCCTCTTTTAGTCATCCTTTATTTGCTACCTATGATATTTGATAAATACCTATATATGCAAAATAAACCCTGGAGGTTTAAAGTTGTAAAGTCCAGGGCAGTTCAACATACGCAATCATGAAATAAGGATGTCTTCATCGAAGTGTCTCTGTAGGTTTAGAACCAAGCCCTGTGCCTACCCGCTCAGGCCACTCTACATTCAGGGGCGTCGCTAAAGGGGGGGGGGGGGGGGGTGGGGTTGAAGTCGGTGGGATTTTTGTTATGTCGGTCGGCCAGCAAGTTTTTCCCCTTCGAGCTGTGACTTTTTATCGGACAAAGAATTTTTTTGAAAATTCAGACAATGATTTAGAGTCAGTACAATGAATAGTCTTCTTTTTCTAATAATTTAATGAAACGTTGGAGCTCCCGCACTTCGCGCGAGAGGGGGAGAAACTGAATTCAGACAATTAGGGTTAAGAGTAGAGAACGGTACACAACAAATCGTCTTCTTTCTATAATAACTTAATGAAACGTCTAAGCTTCCGCGCTGCGCGTGGGATGGGGAAACTGAATTCAGACAAGGATTAAGAGTCGAGAACGGTACAACAAATCGTCTTCTTTTCATAATAATTTAATGAAACGTCTAAGTTACCGCGCTTCGCGCGGGAGGCCTTTCACCCATCCCCTCCCCCACGCGCGCTATTTAAGTGATTCGCTTGCTCAATACCGCCCCTCCCTAAAATAAGATCCTAGCTACGCACCTGCGTTTAAATATATAGCTATGATGCTAACTAAGTTGACGAAATAATTTGTATATTTATGTCGTCGACGAAAATGACCATTTGCGCATAACAATTTAGCCTTCGCATGATCATTTTTGTGATAGTTTCCTTCTGCATTTAATTTTGTTGCTGTTATGAGTTTATATTCATATTTTTGTTATCAAACAGGAATAAATAAATGAATATATAAATACATTTGTACAATACGATTTGTACGATAGTTGTACAATGATGATAGAAGAACCAATGAAAATCGCAACTGATCTTCCCTAATTCTTTTCCCCCTTTTCTTTTCTTCCTCTTTGTTTTCTGTCCCTTTCTCTCCTCTTTCCCTTTCTTTCTCTCTCTCTCTTTGCTGAGGGGGGGGGGGGGGGGGGGGAGGGGTACACATCGGGAAAAATTGCAACTGATCTCCCTACCTTTCTTCTTCCTCTTTTTTCCCCTTTCCCTTCCCTTACTTCTCTCTCTCTCTCTCTCTCTCTCTCTCATTTAACTTTAATGAGGGAGGCAGGGGCCTTTCGCCCCCTCCCCCGATCCATATGATGTTGGTGGGATTAATTGCAACTGATCTCTGCTTCTTTTTACCCTTTTCTTTACTTCTTCCTCTTTTGTGTTCCATTTTAGCTCTCCTCTTTCCATTTCCCTTCTTTCTCTCTTTTTTTTTGGCGGGGAGGGGGGGGGGGGGGGTGGTCGGGGGGGGGGGGGGGCAGAGGCAAGGGCCTTTCTCCGCGATCCACATCTTGTGTGCATGAAAATTGCAACTGATATCCCTTCTTTTCTTTTCTTCTTTTGGTTCTTTCCCTTTCCTTCCTTCTCTCTTGTTTTGCGGGGGGAGGCAACAGCATGGGCGGCAAGGCCCTTTCGACCCCCCCCCCCACCGATCTCCTTCTTTTCCCCTTTTTCCTTTCTTCTTCCTTTCCTCTTCTCTCTTCTTTCCCTTTCCCTTCTTTTCTCTCCTTCTCTCTCTCTTTCTCTCTCTTTTTGTTTGCTGAGGGGCCAGGGGAGGGAAGGCGAAGGCCTTTTGCCCCCGATCCACACCGCGTTGGAGGGAAAAAACACAATTGATCTCCCGTACCTCTCTTTTCTTTCCCTTTTCCTTCTTTTCCTTTCTCTCTCTTTGAAGTTTGCTGTAGAAGGGGGAGGCAAGAGCCATTTGCCGCCCCCCCCCCCCCGATCCCCAACTTGTTCGCGGGAAAACTGCAACTGATATCCCTCTTTTTTCTTTCCTTCCTTTTATCTCCTCTTTTCCCTTTTTTCTTTACCTTCTCTTCCTTCTCTTTTTCTTTTTGTTGGGGGGGGGGGGGGCAACAGCCTGGGAGGCAAAGGCCTTTCGCCCCCGATCACCTTCTTTTCCCCTTTTCTTTTCTTCTTCCTCTTCTTCCTTTCCCTTACTCTCCGCTTTACCTCTCTCTCTCTCTCTCTCTCTTCATTTTTTGTTGGCGGTTGGGGGTCAAGGCCCTCTCGCCCCCCCACCCCCTGGATCCGCGCCGGGAAGACCTGTAGTGTCATCCCTAGCTAGCTGGCAAAGCTGAATATGGGTTATCCAGTCGTTTCATTCATTAAGTATAATTATACTTGTATTGAATATGTATACGTGTGGACTAGAGTACGGACATTCGGTGCGGCAGGCGGACTATTGGTGCGAGACCTCTTCCGCACAGATTGTCCGTCAGACATTTGAGACGCGCACGGAAAGTATGATTTTTGTATACATATCAAAGTAATATTTAGCACATTTAAGCTCAGTGTGTCTCGTGATTCAGCTTTGATGGCAGCCAATATTTTTTTTTTAATCATTCTATCTGGTTATCTTTAAAAATTAAAAATAAATTTCTCTGCGAATATCAAATCGACTCTAAAGTTATGTTCTGTCGTTTTGGGGAAGTGATATGATTCGAGTCTTCGAATGGGTATTGTCATTCAATTCAATTAAATTCAAATAATTTTATTTCATAACTCGATCAAAACATGTCGGCATAACAAGACCCCTGAACATCCGGTGGCTTTGCCCCCCCCCCCTGGACCCTATCTAGGGCCCTAAGGCGGTCCACTGGATGCTATCTGATGGAAATTTAATGCCCAAAACCCCTAAGCTTCTGGGGGCTCTTTCGACCTCTTTGTGCATGGCTGATTGTCAA